AAAAAAAAAAAAAAAAAAAAAAAAAAAAAAAAAAAAAAAAAAAAAAAAAAAAAAAAAAAAAAAAAAAAAAAAGTAATGAATAATAGTGATTATATTAATATTGAATTTTTTAAAAATATATATATAGATTTTTATTTTTTAAATATATGATTGTTAATTATAATTGATATAGTAATTGTAAAGTTTAATATAGTAACTTATTATATTATTATAGATACTTTTTTTAAAAAAATTATTTTAAATCTCATAAATAAAGATAGTTTAAGATTTTTATAGTCTATTTACAAAATCTAAAAATACAACATACTGAAATTTTACATAATTTTAATTTATTATATAAAAGTTATGCAAAAGAAAAGTCAAACTACTTTTTTTAAATAAAACTAAGGGATTTTTTTTTATTTTTTTTATATTTATTTTGAGGCTACATATCAAATTTCTCTAGAATATTCTGTATCATTTAAATAATATTATATAATACTAAAAAAAAATTTGTTTATTATAGAATTAATATAATTAGATCTTTTTTTTTTTTAATGATTGATGTAAAATGAATTGTTGTTTCAAATAATGGATAGCAAAAAAGATTTAACTGAAGAGTAAAAGGGTTTATAATTTATAGTTATTTGAGAAAAGATTTAATTTGTATTATTGCAGTTATTTATTATGGAAGATCTTCTATATCAATGTCATAAAAAATTTTATAAGTTAGATATTTGGACCTTTCCAAAAATCATTCTAAATATCTTAAAATTCTTATCTTCTTGGTTATACTGATTTCAAAAGTCTAATTATTAATAGTAACTACTACCTCAACATAATTCAAATTACTAATATTTTCAATATCAAAAAAAAAAATAATAATAATTGTTTTTAAAAGTATTATTCATTATATCTTATATGATAAAAACTTAAGATCTTGTATTGTCTATTAAAAAACTATTTGTCTTTTCCAAAAATATAAAAAAGAGGCTTGATTGATATCTTGTCTATAAAGATTAATTCATTAAAAGATTTTGCCATATTTTGTGATCTAATAAAACTATCATTTATTTTTTTTTAAATCTCCCTAATCAAGTTTAATATAAATTATATAAAAAGTGTGATATTGAATATCTGAGCAGTATTATTAAATATAATTTGGATTATATATATTGGGATTATTTCTTCTGATATAATATTGGATCTCTTATTTTATTGAATTCTATTGTTACTAGTATTTTGTATATCAATATTACACAGAAGTATGTTTTACTAGCCCTAAAAAATTTTGAAAATAATAAGAATTGTTGTTTATTCTTTTAGTAAGACAATGTAAGACCATATACAATCAAGATAGCTTTGAAATTTATTAAAGAGAATAGAATTTGCATAATGGATTAATCTTTGCAAAGTTCTAATTTCAACCTAATCAAGAACATTTGGATTAAAATAAAAAAATTGACACTTTTGCAAGTCAAAATCAAGTGATCTTTGTTAGTTTGACATTCTCGTCAAACAAAGTGTGATATAATATACCATCAAAATATTGTTGCAAGCTGATCATGTGTATATCTGATCAGGTCGCTGCTTGCATCAGAGTTGGATGAAAATATATAAAATATTAAAATATGATTAGATTAGTTTTTTTATAAAAAAATTTTTTTAAAATAAATAAAAAATAAAAAAAAAAATCTGGTTCAATGAAAAAAACCAACTTCATGAGTTTTTCTATGTAACTTTTGAGCAACTAAATGAAATAATATAAAATTTTAGTATAACATACCTTGATTTTTATTAAATATGTAATAAAAAAATTGTATCACATTTACTTATCTAAATTTTGTACAATTAAAGAAAAAAAAGTGTTCACAATAATATGGTAATAATAAGTTTTTCCAAAAAATTATAACTCACACTATATATTCTTATGCTTTGATATATAATTTGTCTATAGGAAATTTTAACATTAGTAGATTCTTTATATTGATCTCTTGATTTATTTTGAAGTGATGATAGTTACAAGAAAGATAATTTCTTACAAAAGATATTTTATTGATATTTATTTGGCAAATATGTACTGTAAGTTGTATAGTCTAGGATAATTTTCTGCTCACCATTACCTCAATACTGCCAATAAAATATGACTCGCCAGCATTTAAAAAAAAAAAAGATCCTTTTTATTTATAATTATTAAAAGTGAAAGTGATTTATTACTCTAATAAATATATACAGTATATTATATTTACTTATTAAGAGATTAGAAAAAGTTAATACGAATAAGATATAAAGTTAATAAGTTTCGCTTGTATATAGGAAACCCAAGTTTGACTAGAAACACGATTAAAATTTATTTAGAAAAAAATAATAATAATAATAAATTTTGAATTTGAAAATTTGAAAATAAGAAAAAGATATTAATATAATTGATTATATTGCTTATTTCAACAATAGCTAAAATATAAATCAAGGTATGAAAATGATTATATAGAATAGAGCTTGTCAAAAATAAAAGTTATCGGATGTTTTCTCCGTGCATCACTCATGCATGCATTATATTCAAGTGAAAATTTCCAGACCATGTAAAACGTAAACTGAGATCGCAAATTTCCAATTCCGATTTCTCGATCTATTGTTTCCGGAATTTTATTTAAATAATATAAATTATTGTAGTACGGAAATTTCACTCGAATATAATGCAAATTCGTCTGCACGGAAACCTCTTATTTTTGGTAAAAAAAATCCCTGCTAAATTATATAGCATGTGAGTCTATGAATCTTAGGGACTTTATACTGTATATGATGAATTGTATGCTTAAAATAATTACATGAATTACATGTGGAAGGAAGAAAAGTTTACAGACGTAGGGGTTATGGATAGGGAACGGGAAATATTCCTTCGCGCGTTGCTTGATGAAGCCATGTGCATATGTAATCGTGTGTTCGTGTGTTACACTCCATCCGTATTATCTAAAACAAGTACAGTGTTATAGAAAATATTCATCGGTTTGCTTGAAAATGCTAAACATTATGGAGCTGAAAAAGAAATTGACTTCTTGATCGTTTAACCTAGTTCCTGAATAACAACAGTAACGTCTAAATTCAGACATAACGAAATATTTTCACACTAAAATTATTTATTGAAAGGCCGATGGCAAATACAATTATCTGTTACATAATATCTATTCCGATGTTATTAAGTTTTCTAAGGAGAAAAAAAAAAAAAAATGCGAATGCGTGAAGTTTGGCTCTCTTCTTACTCTAAGCAGAGACCGTATATTGAAAACTCATTAAATAGATTCTGCTAATTTTGGTATCTACTCCTATCTAGTTTAATTCTAATTGTTGATCCTTCTTTCCGATGCCGTTAACATTTTCATCAGTCGTATCACCGAAACCATCTTCAATACTTTTCTAACCTTTTCAACCGTCTTTGACACTCTTTTATCAAATTCGGACTTCTCGTGTCTGACTGCTAACTTCGCTCGTCTCGCCGGTGACGGCCACAGTTTTGTGGTGAGTTCGAATGACCAATAGCGATATATAAATACTTTCACAAAATCGAGGAAAATGCAGATCACTAGTGAGATCTTTTAGATTGGAGGTAAGTGATTAGAACGGAGATTAACAACAAACGTGGGAACGATTGGATAATAGTAGAAGTATTCTTTCGATGAATGCATACCGCTAAAATCACAAACGACATTCCCCAACCAATCTTCTCGGTCAAAAGTCCATAAATCGACATAAGTAATGAAATTATCTGGGTGCCAAATAAGGATGCGGTGAATATCGGTGACGCCATGTTTTCCCAGAAGTACCCCGTTAGTCGGGTGGAGAAAATTAAGAAATGTGGAGCGCTGGATAAGTGAAGAAAAATTATTGTTTGCAGTTGACCTAAACAACGAAAGTGTTTGTGAATGCGCTTGAACGATATAAATGGAACAGCAAGGTAAACCAACATACCTTGATCAACATGAATGACATCCCTGAAAATATAGAAATGTGCAAAAGTAAATCCTGCCAATATGGTTCCCAGTATTATACTAAGTACAATTAATTGCCCGACACGCCATTTATCAGGTTTCTCGGAAATCTGATTCAATGCGCAAAAGAATTAATAGATAGGTATACGAATTTTCGTAATGATGTATTAAATATTGTATGTCAAAGGAAAAACAGTAAACAAGCATACCTGCACATTATCAATGGAAATTACCAAAGTCGCTGCATCATTTAACAACGCGATTAATATCACCAACACCGCTGGCAACGTCCAACCTTCGATCAATATGATGAAAAAGAAGAACAGCAGAAATTGTATGGTCGAGGTGATACGGTATAAGGCATAACTCCTCATCCGCTGGAATATTGCTCGTGAGGTCATTATCCCGTCGACAATTGTTGATAGGCCTGATGCTAGTAACACTATATCGGCGGCACTTCGGGCAGCATCCGTGCATCCTTCCACCGCTATGCCAACATTGGCACGTTTTAAGGCTGGCGCGTCGTTTACCCCATCGCCCTTTTATTAGACGAATAAATAAGAAAGAAAAAGATTTTTTTATTTTTATTTTATTTAACGATAGAGGTGACATGGGAGATAAATTGTCGGATTCCTTCGAAAAGAGATACGCACCGTCATCCCCACCAAATGTCCTTTCTTCTGTAACAGCTCTACCACCCTATACTTATGTTCTGGTATCACTTGTCCAAATCCGTCGGCTCGCTCACAAGCTTCCGTCACCTCTTCTTCCGATCGATTAGGGTCTGCTAAATAATTCGCATCTAATATCACCCGGTTCATCCCGAGTCGACGTGCCACCTCTTTGGCGATGACAACTTGGTCGCCAGTAATCATTTTTACGGTGACTCCAAATTCTCGGCATCGACTAAGGGTCTCTCTGGAATCTGGTCTTGGAGGATCTAGAAGACTTATCAGTCCGATCAGGTTCCATTGCGGATATTGGTTATTGGTGTCGTTGGATTCTAGAGGTGACGATATCGCAACACCCAAGGCTCTTAATCCACGAGAGGCAAGGTCATTCACGGCATTGGTGGCTTCCTCATTCCCGCCCGTAAGTTTGATAATGACTTGCGGGGCGCCTTTAATGATTTGAAAATTTTCCTTGGTTTGTAAATTCGTCACGGTAGCTTTGGTATATTTGGTCGAAGGGTTAAAGGGAGTGAATGAGGTGACTCTATATCCTGGAACTTCGCGATCGCTACCGCTATTCTTTATGATGGCAAGTTCTGATTTGGCAGCTTTTCTTACGGCCGTTTCTATGGCATCATTGGTATCGGACTCCGAACAAAGGTAGGAATAGAGGAGTAATTCGGAACTGGTGTGACCGTTATATAACCACGGTTCGTCGAACGTAAGATCGTTCAATGTGAGCGTACCAGTTTTGTCCGAGCATAGGAGGTTAACCGAGGCCAATTCTTCGACGGCAGTCAAGCGTTTGATAATGACTTTCTTAGCGGCTAGTTGCTTTGCTCCCACGGCCATTGTGACTGATAGCACAGTCGGCAGTCCAACCTTTCCACACAACATGAAGTTAAAACATTGAGATGTGAACACGGTTAAGAATTTAAGACACCAGTTCATTCAAGAAAGAGGTCATTTATACCGGAATAGCGGCGACTGTTAACACCAGCACTAGTTGCAGAGTACTCAAGACATTACTTCCTCGTTGTCTTATCAATTCATAGACGAAGATGATCAAGACGAGGATGACTGTAATTAAGATAAGAAAGTTTCCAATTTGATTAATGATTTTTTGAAAATGACCTTGATCCACGGTCATGTTCATCAAGGTCGCTGCTCGACCGATGAAGGTTTTTGCTCCGGCTAAATTTTATAAAAAATAAAAAATAAATAAATCGAGGGATGATCAGATGTGCGAAGGGATCATGGTGAAGCGATGACACGGAGAATAATTAATTCAATCAACCAACTTTTGCAAACTATTGCCAACATTTGACCTTGCTTAACGATGGAACTGTGTAAAAGGCGGGGAGTTAATAATTAAAAACTTTCCTTTTTTTAAGAGGATGATCTCATCTTTTACCTTGAATAAACGTGATCGCCTTTGTCACGATTCACTGGTAGACTCTCGCCTATAAAATTGTAAATTTCAATGAGACAATTATAATTATTCGAAACTCAATGGCAAAAAAAAAAAAAATACTCACCGGTCAGAGACGACTGGTCGATCAATAAACCATCATCCGACTTATTCCCGGTCGCAGTGATTCCCAATAACTTGGAATCAGCCGGCACAATGTCACCAATCCTTAATACGATCACGTCTCCCGGTACCAATTCAGCCGAATCTATCTCCACCAACTTGCCATCCCTCACGACCCGGGACTTCAATGCCAAAGATTGACGTAGCGCGTCTAACGCAGATTCTGCTCGGGATTCTTCGAAGAAACCGATACACGCATTGATAATCAGTAGCGCGAATATGATTCCAAAGTCGACCCAGTCACGAACAACGGCGGCGACAATACACGCGATCTCTATTAAATAGGCGATGGGACCTCGGAAGTAAGAGATAAATTTTATGATGGGATTGCTGAAAATTTTCGGTGGTTAGATAAATTTCTCAAAAAGAAGAACTTAATCACGCTAAGATGATATATTTTATGTACGCACGTTTTAACGTCGGCAATCTCGTTCCTTCCAAACCTTTCTAACCGTGATTTCGCTTCTTCAGTGGTAAGCCCGGCTCTTGGGTCAGTTTTCAGAAAAGCCTCGAGTGATGGCGGAATTTCATCGCCAATTTTCACACTCTCACCCTCTTTTTTCTTTTTGGGTTGACAAAAGAATTGCACAAAAGAAAGAAATGGTACCAAAAATTTCAGTCCGACCAGAATTTTAGAATTTCTTCCACAATCTTCAAATAATTCGCACCGCCAAAAACAAATGACATGAAAATCTTACCGTACTAGTCTCATCATGACCCGTCCCGCTCTTCGAGTATCCGATGCCCTCAACTTCCTCCCCAAATATCTCCTCAACAGATTCTTGAGACATTGATTAGGGATTTGATTATTATTATTATTATTTGTTTTTTTTTTTTGAAGGAAAGGTGCTTTGATAATTGATTGGGACGCGAAGCAGTTGAGAAATGAGAAATAGTTAGATACACAAAGGGTGATCGATTTAGAGAGAGATGAGAGCGAGCGAAATTACAGTATAATATCAACGAGAAAAGTTGGTGCTAATAAATAAATAGTGAAGGTGTGAGATGATACCGAGTTTTTCATTACAACAAGCTAATGAAAGCTTTTATGAATTGGATCGGGTAATGTCTAATGGTTTTTTAACCATTTCTCAGATTATTTCCCAGCTCTCTTATATATTAATCCCGATTCTCATTTCCCAAGTATTTTAAGCGCATAATTAACGGCTCGCAAATGGATGTTGATTGTAAGTATGACGTCAACGTCGCCCATAGAGCATTCGGTCCTCACCATGCGTGACATGAATTATCGATAATGCACATACAGTGTTCCGTCGATTGGTAGAAACTGCCAAGAATTCTATTGATTGGTAGAAATTGCCAAGATTTCCTCAATGTTTGCCAAGCATTTTAATTACCCGATAAGGAGATAAAGAATTGTAATTACCTGGTTACCGTAATGAAATGCAAACACGTAATATTTGTTTTTCACTTCGTGTAACCTGTCATCCGGGATCATGTTTCCATGCGTATCTTTCTAATCTTCGAAAGAGAGTGAGTGAGTGAGGTAATTTCTGGTTATCGATGAAATCAAGAAAAAAAAAAAAATCACGAATGGGGATTAATCAACCTTCATAGATTTAAATTTGATTCTTATCTTATCTCATCTCACGTAAGTAAATTTATACACCGCATACTGTAAAACAGAAAGGAACCATACTTTTTTTTTGCTTTTGATTCTGTGAATAACGTACAGTAGATGCTATTCGGTTATTATGAAATCTACACATATACATGCGCATGAATGAGTATGCAAAATAATTTACGTACATTACAGTGTATCAAGTATTGATCTACTTCCGTCTTTAGTTTTGAACGAATTTGTCCGGTGAGAATTCCGATGTTACACACCAATTCGACCTTTCGTTCCTCCTTTGAACGTCAGACTTCCCAGAAATCCCGTCACCTTTGGTTTTATCAAGATCCTATATTCTTTCCTCCAATTAATTTAATACAGTGTTGAACTTTGTGACTATCTGTGTCTGCCTTGCTGTTTCGTTTAGTCAACCAATTTTCCAATTGTTTTTCATCCATCTGGGCTATTTATTCTAGAATTAGATGTGGCAAATTTTACGCTCATGAGAAGAGTAGACGATTAGAAAATCAATGAAGTTTTAATTCATATATAACCTCAATTTAATTTCACACCATCAATTAGAGAAGACACTCTATCTAGGGGAAGGCGGTACGGAAAGAAATACTGTATGTTATTCACTCGATAAGTTTTCATTCAAGTTTCTACGCTTGTGCAATCTTTTATTTGGACGAGTGAGCAACTTCTATTGTCCGTGTAATACTTACAGAATTTAATTATACTTTAACATTAACCAATTTAACGTACTCTTACTTAGTTACCAAGAAATGTAATTGCAACTTGAATTTGAACTTGTATAAAAGCTAGGATTTCAAAAAACAAATTCACATAGACTCACATGCTACATGATTTACTATAGTAAATTATATTTCACCTAAAAGTTTAATAATACTGTAGTTGGAGAAGAAAATGGAGTCTAATTCAGGGTCTTTATTCATTGAATGCTACTAACATTGTTACTATGTGATATTGTACTTTAAGTAATGAATAGAGAATGTGTATTGATTTCACGATATTATTGTTAGATCATCAATAACATGAAAATATAAGCTTTATTTTTATCAGAATCATGTTTCTTTTTTTTTAAATACAGTATATATTAATAAGAAAATATTTAATTTTTGTTGGAAACTGCATACAAACTACAGTGCTTCGTAAAAATACAAAAAAAAAAGAAATATATATATATTTTTAACAATATTGCGGAAAAAAAAAGCCGGCTCTCTCAAAACATAAAGTGCTCACTAGTGTATTATAAAAAATAATTGCTTCAGATTAATAATGGTTTCCTTTCTTATAATGATCAACACAAATAAAAGTATGCATTGTTTATCTAAATATATTATTTATATGTGGTACCCCGACTTCGTTTCGATAAAATCCGGAAAATGCGCACATTCTATCAACATCACCTATCTCGGTTAATCTTTGAATGCCTCATATTCATCCTTTTTAACACCAATCCCCCTGCCATGACATAAAACACACCGCTCGTATCCCAATCTCAGCTGACTTTTGATAATATTTGAGTACCATATGTTTACCCTTTTCTTGTACTGTGTATTCCATCCACACGTTCCATCTCAGCTAGTGTTTGATAATCTTTGAATTCCTCGTGTCCGTCCTTTCTTAACACCTCCATCTCGAAAGTCAAGCACTGCATTTATTACTGTAGGAAGGTATGAATTTCACATTGCTGCACGATGCAGAGAGCCATACACAAGATTTTGGTGTTGCATACTTTGACGGGTTTGCAAAAAAGATTTAACGCTCTAATATGGAAAGGTTCAAAAGAGAATGAGAATTCAGAAATCTTGAATCATCAGACAACTGCGTTGAACGTATAGTAGTTCAATTATCTGAAAAATGAAACCTAATAAAAAAAAAATCGACATTTAATCACATTATGAGCAAAAAACCAAATCAGTTCATATTAATAAAGACTGGTCTAAGCAGGATTTTGATAAGCCCTGTGATCCTTAAAGTAACCGCGAATCAACAATGACTGATTGTTTTAATTCAATAATCAATTGTTAAGAGACAATTTTTCAAAGAAAGTAAAACGCACCAATAAAGTCATTAAAGTCTGAACTTGGAATGGTAACCATAATCACTAGCCAGGGTACTGCTGAGATGCGGATTCCACAGCACGCAAAAATAGTTAAGATTTAAGCTGTGATTTAGAGCACGTCTAATGCTAATGTAACATTGAGGCTCGGTGATATATGGGTAATTATTTTCGAAGGCGGACAGGGATTTTTCGGACCTTAGAATTGTGATCCTAAAATTTGCATTATATACGTATTATTAAAAAATGGGGGCCGAAAAAATCATATTTAATATTTTGATCGCCTTCAAGAATAATTGCCCATATACTGTATGCGTACATGTAGTATATAATATACAGCATAATAAATAATAACGGCCGGTCATCCCCTTGCTTTACTGTAATTATACGGTAGTATTAATACAATGAGATATGGATTAATTAGATCGCGAAGAAGTTTTAAAAGAATTGGTTCTCATTTATATTGAATTACTGTATTTCTTCAAATTTTATAAGATTTTTAAAAATGGATAACTTTTATAAAAATTATTTATATTTTTAATACATACTGTACATATCAAAATCAAAAGTATTCCTTTCAATATTTATTTAATTTTTATAATTTCACAATATGCATAAGAATATTATATTGTCGAAATACTATATATCATTTCTATATAAAAACTTTGGCTTGAATAATAAAACAACATATTCTAATAACAACCTTGTATAACTTTTGTTTATTCAAACTATTTTAACTTAATCTTTAAAACAGATCAATTTTAATTATTACTCATATTTCTTACCATTTTTTTATTACATAAAAATATTAATATTAATGTAAATTAATATCAAATTTTTATCAATTCACCAAATCAACTTTTATTTCTTAAATAATTAATTATTAAATTTCAAGCATTATATGAAATAATTTTTTATATTAATATCCAAATTAAGAATTTGCAATAATCAATATAAAAAAATAAAAAAAAACTCAAAATTAATAAAATCCATTAATAAAATTTTTTATATTTATAAAATAATCATTTTTTTTTGTTCTTATAAAATAGTAATTTTTAATAATTAATTAATAAAAATAATTATGATCAAATTGATTTATTAATAAAAAATAATTACTTGTAAGTCTATAATATAGTAATAATATTTCTAGACTACAATTTTAAAATCCTAAGTTCAATATTATATATAGATTTATAAATAATATTTTCTAATTAAGTTTTATTCAATAATCCATAAAAGCTATATTTAATTATTTAAATTCAACTAATAATTTAAGTTATATAAAAATAAAACTTTTAATCTTTAAAAAAAAACTTTTTTCATAGATCCTTAAATTTTTAAAAAATTTTCTTTTATAGTAATTTCTAAAAAGAAAAACTTCTCACAAGAAACAACCTCAAAGAAAAAAACAATAGCAATAACTCATCTTTATATAATATATAGTCGATTCTTAACAACAACAAAAGGATAATGCTAGTTAACAACAATATTTTTATACTTTTAATTTGTTTTAAGAAGAAAAAAAAACAAAGACAACTGATTTACAGTAGGCTTCTTGTGACTCAATATCAACTTTACAAAGCTCTTAGTTAGATTAGTACAAGTTAAACATCTTTCTAGATACTAAGAAAGGTTTTAAAAGCAATAATCCAAACTGATAAATCAGTTCAAACTCAAGGCTCAAAAAATCTAAAAAAATGTTTAGATCTCTTGAGTCAAATAATAAAAATCAGTAATAAACAATCACAACAACTGATTTATCAGTCATATTATATTAATATAAATATGTAAAAGTAAATAGATCTTAGATATGACAAAATAACAATTCATGATATATCAATATATCAAAAAAAAGTAACATATATCAATCTAACTGTATCACAAATAATAAACAAGTAATATACATATGGGTAATTACTTTTGAAGGCAACAAAAATGCTAGATATGATTTTTTGGGCCCTACTTTTAAACAATACACGCA